CCCGAACAACTGGGCGATGTGGGTCGGAAGAATCCTGCCATTCTGGCCCGCTGTCGTAACGACGTCGTTAGCTGAGCGCCAAATCAGAATGTTGTCCCGAATCAGGTTCTTCAAACTGACCATGATCAGGACCTCCGAATCGACGCGCAAGCCGGACTGAATATGGCTGTCACCAAGAAGGTATGGGCAGCCATGTACAAACTGTCCGCCCCTCTTCTTGATGGTTTCGTCGGCGCGGCATGCTAATCCAATGCTGAAAATACTCGGCAGATTCTCCCGTTGAGTTCCATGAATGGAGTAACAGGGAGCCCTAGGAGCGGACAAGTCCGTAATTCTCATATATATATGTATATATAATGACTCAGGGCACATAATACCAGGGCTGATATGTCCGTTACTTGGACGGATGAAGTATGCGCCGTGCTTTTCGGAGGAATACTTCATCTTCTCGATATGCAGCCGATTCTTTCTCATTCCAGACTCGTCAACCATACCAATAAGTTCCAAGACAGCATGCACCTGGCACGCCCAGTGCTGGTTCTTGAGCTTGCAACGTACCCTGTCCAGGTGCTCGCGGTGGTGGCTCTCATATCCTTCCGCAGGCCATCTGTTGAGTAGCTGTAATAATTATGCCCACCCGTCGTGCTCATCATACGTCGTCACTTCCCAAATGAATATGTCCGACAATTGGCCACTATGAAACGGCTGGTGACGAAGGGCAGTTGTCAACCACTCAGAAGCCTTACGTTGATCGTCGCACTTGAACTTCGGCTTGCGAACATTCTCTGACCTGAGGATGTTTTTCCAAATATTCCCTTTCAGAGTCAAACGTGACTGCAGGGCGTTTCCGCTGGATGCTGCGCACTATTTGGCACGCGCGTGCACCTTGGCCATGATGGGCAGCAGTGTCCACGACGTTGCATTGCACCACCATGCATCGGTCAGCTCAATCGCCATTCCGCGGATGATATGCTGGATTGATCTTCGCGCGGTTGGAGGTGCGCATCCTCTCTCTGAGCTCTGCACATTCCGGCGGCACCAACGCGCGGGCAGGACGCCCCGCTGGACTACGAGCAGGTTGCCCCGCAGAACTCTGAGCAGATTGCCCCGCAGAGCGCGGGGCTGCCTTTGGCGCGGCAGACGCTGCTGCGCTCGCTGCCGATGCGGCAGCGCCAACAGGTCCCCCGGGCGTCCTTGGAGTTCCTTGCGGGGTACTGATATCGAAGTCCTGGCGTTTCTTCTCCTTGATGTTGTAGGACTCGGCAGTCTTATCTCTGGGCACTGCTCCTGGCACCTTTGGCGCGGTAGCAAGGAGCTCCTCAGTGCCACGTCGCGTAGAGGAAGCATTCCTTGCCCTTCCTTCCAGCGCAGGCACCCACCATGGCCTGTGCGTCCGACCTGGTGTAGGGCCGCGACGTGGCACAGGTTCTACTGGTGCCCTGAAATCAAGCTGCTGCGGCGGCCACTTCTGGTCCTCTGGATCGTTGTCGATCAGCAGGTTGCCCCGCGTGTCGCTGCTGCTTGCCATCCCCAAGGCTGGGGCTATCTGGGCTTTTCCGCTTCTTTTTCTCTCGTAAAGTTGAGATGATCAGGACCAAGAGATTGGCTTGATGAATCAGAAGATGAGGGGAGATCGATCGTCTCTGGCTTCAGCTTTGGCGCTGCCTTTGCCGCAGCCCCTGCCGGCGTCCCAGGCGCAGATTGCACGGGGCCTCGGTCAGGATGCAGATCGATACCGTCTGGCCCCCTGAGGGCCATATTCTTAATGGGTACCTTGCGCTTATGTGCAACTAAGTACTTATCGGCGCTTCGTCTTTCGACTATGCGTGTCCGTATCCAGCCAGTAGACTGAGCTCGGCAAACAATCTGCCTCCCAAGATATAGATCCATAGCTATTGCGACAACGTCCTCGGGGTCGATCAGGGCATCCGTCTCACACGTAACATCCGCAATGTCCGAGTCGCTTGGCTCGCCGCCGTCAGGGGCAGCGCCCGTGGGATCAACTTCTGCAGCCATCTCATGATCTTCATCTTCACCAGCTTATTGTTGGCTTTCTTCTTCTTCTGATTTACGATCAGCAGGTTTCCCCGCGTGCCACTCGCGATGGAACTGCGCCAAACAGTGGGTAGGTATCAAGTTCTGCCGAACGAGTTCTGAAAGAGCTATTTCTTCGCGAGTGGCGGGGTCGTCATCGTTTCCGCCAGCTGCTCAAGATATGGCGTAGCGTTGGGATCAGTACAGTGACCCCGACCATCTTCACGAGACCACACCCACGGTGTTCTTTTGAACTTAGGGCTTCTTTATGTGCGCCTCAGGGGGCAGCCGGGCCTGCAACCAGCATAACTGGGGCATGTGCAGCAAACGCCTCTGTAGAACTTTCGATCCTCGATGATGGCCCTTTTAAGATCGTGATTGACCATGTTTTCCCCCGATTTGGTCTGTCCCGCCTTTGTACGAATGACATTGCCTGCATCATCTCGTCTGACCTGGCAAAGGGAATACCAGTGCCGGGCTTGATGCTCGCCCAAACCCATTCCCAGCTAGAAATCCATCTGGTTTGCGGGCATGCACTGACGAGCCAATCCAGCATCGGCGTAGCCTTTCAAACGCTGCATTTCACCTTCTGGATATCCCCCTCCTCGACGTTGGTCATCTTGAGGCGGGTTTCCCCGCGGGCGGTCCTTCCTCGGGGGGGCACGTGCTCTTGTCGCCTGCCACGGCGGGCCCCATGTGGCCCCCGCATCAGGAGGATGAGAGCGCTGACTACCGACCGCTCGAACGATCACCGCTAGAGCGGGCTCGCGCACGATCTGGCGAGCGACTAGGAGCACGACCGCGACGTATCATGCGGTCACCGTCTTCCCGCTCGTCCTCCTCGCCCACTGGGGAACGCTTCGGACCGTCATGATAGGTTTTCCTTATCAAGGGTAGGCGGCTTGGCGATCGTCTCGGGCCGCTGGCGGACCGATATGACGCAACAGAAGTATACTGAAATTCTTCATTATGCCTGAGCTCATATTGAATGCGCCCATGTCGATCAACAGCGTCGCGCGGGCCCGCGTTTGTCGGATTTTCAATCGCCCGAGGAAGTGGCAGGAGTGGCAGAGTGCAGGAGTGGCAAAGTGCTGAGTGGCAAAGTTGCATGAGTGGCATGTATTTCCTCATCTGTTGCAGGAGTGGCAAAGTCTGAGTCCGCGGGCGCCCCCGCCACGCCAGGATCACCTTCGACGGGCATGGGAGTTCTCGACGAACTCAATATATGCAGGCTGCCCCGCGATGGGTACACCCAGCCATTCTGCCAAGTCGACATCGCCGTGGCCAGCGAACACCTCCTCGAACAGCTCGTCGGCGCAATTCTCGAGGGTCATGCTGGCACATAGATACCTGGCAGCCATGAAATGAACAAGTGTGGCTGAGCCGTCGGCAGGGTCGGCTAAAAGCGACTCCCAATCAACGCACTGCATGTCGGAGTCCTTGCGAGGCAAATTAATTGACGGACCCCTGCCTCTTCCATCACCTCGGGGGCACTCGCGTCGGCAATGTTGTGCGCTGTGACATATGTCGCACTCCATGGTTTTACCGTTGGCATCCTTTGGATGTCCTCGTCGTCCTTTGCCTTTGCCTGATGTGCGCCTGCGATTTCTGCCAGTACCTAAAAACAGTTCCTCATACTGAAGTCCAGTAAGAGACGCTAGAAATGCGAGTATGCCTCTGCCATGTAATCGCCGGCGCTTGCCTTTGCCTTTGCTTCGACCCTTGTTTTTTCCTAAAAGTGACCGTCGTACAATACGTCTTACCCTTCGAAAGGGTTTCTTCATGAACCTCCGTCAACGACGCTTGTGTTTTTGATCGCCCAAAAATAACAATTGAGCTTGCTGCTCCCCAATAAGGTACGCAGGCATACCAGAGATATCCAAAGCGGCAGCTTCATCATCGGAAGACGCATCCGCATCGGTACCGGAGTCGAAGTCGGACTCGGCGGGTCGCCCCGCTGAGCCCATTAGGGTCATGGCTTGCGTAGGGGAGGCCGCGTCGGGCGGCCCCCCAGATCTGGCCCAGGGGCCTTGCGACCCCGAAGCCGCTCCACCATTCTGAGCCAACAGTGTAGTGGTGTCAGTTGGCTGTGTACCATCGTTCCCAACGTTTTTGGCAGGTTGCCCTGCGTTGGCCTCTGCGTGGAAGGTCTCGGTTCGGTGACCATGGCTCATGCACACCTGGCAGCGCGGCATCGCGCACGGATGTGGAATAAAGAATTAAGTGGGTACACATGGAAGGAGAAATCGCTGCCAGAGAGTCGTATGAAGCCGTATGGCTCCTTGAGCCTGAACAGCTGGGAGACCGTGATGCCACTCAAGAGCGGGACACGCAGGCGCATTCGAGCCAGCATGCAGTAGGTTCCATTGCCCTGCAGTCGAGACCACTAGCAACGCTCTCTTCGAGAAGAAGAGCCATCGCAGACCATCCCATTCACATCGACTGCGTCTGCGGCGGCACAGCTGGAAAGCTGGCATGAATGATGATCAAGAGTGTAGCGTCGTAGCTTCCTCGTGCCCATACAAGCAAAGTATCCGAGCTCCATCCGGCGAGCTCCGCTCCAGTGCAAGGGCTGTTCCGAAGTTCACGCACGATGGTTCTACCATATATGCCCCAGCAGGCTTGGTAGAACCTTGGGGCTGTTCTCGAAGCAGACTGCGGAGCTGTAGCTTGGCGCGCCGGCAACATTGCATGGTCATTGCGGTGCCTATCGGGGGTTTGTCGGAGGCTTGTTGAGGGCTCCTTGGGGCCTCTTGCCTGGATCTCTCTCAGTCCTTTGGAAGGGCCTCTTGTGGACTTGTCGGTGATGGGTAAGGGCCCCCCTCAGGAGAGGAAGAGAAGGGAAAGCCTGATTCAACTCTGCCCTGCCCAGTTGCTGCCCAGGCTCTCCACATACACACACATACACACACACACACACACACACACACACACACGCGGTATCCCTGGACTCTCCGCTAGCCATCCTGAGGGAAGTCCTGCCCTGTCTGCTGCGCGTAGAGGCCCTTGTAAGAGGCCACAAGCAGCTTCAGGTCGGCCGAAGGTACGTCGCATGTGGAGTGTCTCCTGCCAAGCTGACACTTCGCGTCTAACCGGTCAAGCAGCTCTCGCAGCCGCCCCTCGAACGGCCCCATGTCCAGGCCGCGCACGACGCTGGAGTAACTCAGGATCAGCTCGCGGTAAGAGTCCCAGGCGAAGTGCGCGCCCTCCAAGGCAGCCTGTGCCTCCACGATTGAGTCGTTCAGACCTGCGGAATGCTCCTCAAAAACAGCCAGAAGCCAGCTGAGAAGGAAGCGCAAGGGCGCAGCATCCCTGACGCATCGCCGGGAACCTCCCCATAACAAACTCGTCGAACCAGTGGCACCCAAGGACCCTGGGGGCGTTACCGCTACTCCCTGGACCTCTCCTGGGGCGCGGTCTGACCAGGATTTCGAAGCGAATCCAGCGGTGGCGACGAGGGCCGCCCGGGGGGCCCAAAAAGGAGAAAACGAAGGAAGGGTAGCACTATGGGTACCTTTTCCTCCTCTGAGCGTTGGTCACCCCCGACGGCGGAGGTAGACCACGCAGCCGAGTCTCGGGCCGCTCGCCGAGACCGACATAAGCAGCGGTCTGTGCCAGGACTCGAGCTAAACAATGCTCTCGCTTTCGTGTTGTCTTCGTTCTCGGTCTGTCTTCGTTCCGCCTTTCCTGCAACACAAAATCAAAACGAAAACGGTCCACGAAACTGCCAAAACACCGTTCAGCTCAAGCCCTGCCCAGGGACCCAGGAGCACACCCCCAGTGTTGGTCACCACCGACGGCCGAGGTAGACCACGCAGCCCGGCATCTCACCGCTCGCCGAGACCGACATGAGCAGCGGTCTGTGTTGCGAGCCCCATGCCCGCGAGGTGGCGCGCCCGAGCCTCGGCACCAGGGGCTCCAACACCTCCCTGTCCTGGTATCTCCTTTGCCGCCTCGATCCCGATCCTCTTCCTCCTCCGCCTCCTCCTCCC